TCCAGGGAGGGAGTATCCACAACTTCTCTGGGCAACCTGTTTCAGTGCCTCACCACCCTCACAGAAAAAAATTTCTTCCCAATATCTTATCTAAACTTACCCTCTTTTAATTTGAAGTCATTCCTCCTTGTCCTGTCACTACATGCTCTTGTAAGAAGTCTCTCTCCAGCTTTCCTGTAGGCCCCCTTCAGTGTTGACAGAAGGGCTCAGGTACATATGCACTCGATCTATAAGATCTCCAATATGTCCGCTTTATTACAAGAGCTTTGACCTTTTATAGTTTCTCTATACAAGGTATCATGACCAGATGCATACAATTGGTTACAAGCTACTCTCCAGATGTAAACATACATTACAAATACATTTATAATTGGTTTATAACAGGTATCTATTCAGAATAAGATAATTATTTACTTTATCAAACCCCACCTTCTTCTTGGCACAGAGTTCCTTTTTTTCTAGCTAGGAGACTTGCAGCCATCTTGGCACTTACAACTTATAATATCTATAAAGCTATATTAAAGCAAAGCTTATAAAACTACAGAACACAATATAAATTGCTCATGTATCCATCATGTTCCTTCCACACTTCAGGTAGTAGAAGGCCGCAATTAGGTCCCCCGAAGCCTTCTCCAGGCTGAACAATCCCCAATCTCTCAGCCTTTCCTCATAGGAGACGTGTTCTATCCCTCTAATCATCTTCATGGTCTTCCTCTGGACTCGCTCCAACATGTCTCAGTGTCCTCCTGTGCTGAGGACCCAAGAGCTGAATGCAATACTCTAAGTGAGGTCTCACGAAGGCAGAGTAGAAAGGCAGATTCATCTCCCTCAACCTGCTGGTCATGCTTCTTTTGATGCAGCCCAGGATAGGATTCTGGGCGGCAAGCACACATTGCCAGCTCATGTCCTGCCTCTCATCCACCAGAACCCCCTATTCCATCTCGGCAGGGCTGCTCTTGATCTGTTCATCCCACAGCCTGTTCTGATTCCAGGAATTGCCCTAACCCAGGTGCAGCCCCTTGCACTTGGTCTTATTAAACCTCATGACATTCCCATAGGCCCACTTCTTGAGCTTGTCCAGGTCCCTCTGGATGGCATCCCATCCTTTAGGGGTGTCAACTGCACCACTCAGCTTGGTGTCATCTGCAAACTTGCTGAGGGTGCACGTGATCCCTTTGTCTGTTACTGATGAAGACAATGAATAACACTGGCCCAAATATGGACCCCTGAAGGTCACCACTCATCACTGATGATCATCAGACCTCTGAGCAGTTGACCACTACCCTCTGAATGTGACCATCCAACCAATTACTTATCCATCTGGGTGGAGGAAGGGGCTGAAAACAGAGGATTGGTGTGAAAAAAAGAGAATAAGATGTTTTTAGAATTCTTTTTGCTCAAGAGATTTTTGCAGCTGGGAAGGTTAGGCCAGAAAAAGATCAGTGTGGGAATCTGCACACCCTGTATTCCCTTTGGATTGCTTTCTGTTGAAAAAAAATTTAATTCTCTCAAGGAAGATAAGAGATTGTTGTTAAAAACTTAAAAGCATTCTTTCCCACAGGCTTGGGGGGAAGGAAGATAAGAGAGAAAGTTTAGAACTGTAAAAACATCCTCTTGAGCCACTTGTGCATGTGTCAGTCAGTTGATATGTAAGGCAGGGCACAGGCCCGCACTGCATTTTTTTCCCCTGATAAGTTTGCACTAACTTAGCAGTGTATGGATGTCTATGGACTATGGAATAAATCTATTCTTCACACTGCAGCTGTGGTTCATGACAGTCTTGGTGCTACCTGCGTATAATAAATTCTTACACTCACCCGGGGGATCCAAGATGGTGGGCGGGCGGGCGGGCGGGCGGGCGGATGGCCACCTACTAGGCGTGCTCCTGCAGCTGGGTGGTGGGTGGTGAGGGACACGTTCCTGCTCCCGCGGCCTGTTGCCTTGCTTGCACACCGATCTCTGCAGTCGACGTTGTGGAGGAGCTGTTGGGAGCTTTGTTTTGACGGTGGAGCGGCAGAGCTGTTGGCGGATGGCTGCTTGCCGTGTAGAGCAGTCACCAGACCGTGGGGCCGGGCCAGGCCAGGTCAAGCCGGGCAGGAGCCAGGAGGGGGCAGGACAGACCTGGGGGATCCCCAGACTGACAGGGTGGAGGGTGGGATGGTCCCGTTTAGAGGGGGGCGAACCCCGGGACAGGTCGGGTCAGGCTGGGAGGGAGCAGCAGGGGGGCCAGACGGACCTGGGGGATCCCAAGGTCGACGGGAGGGCGGGTGGGGTGGTCGCATTTACAGGGGGGGGAATCCCCAGGCCGGCAAGAGGGCAGGCGGGGTGGTCCCATTTGGGGGGCCAAGGGTGGGCAGTGCGAGGGGGGACTTGTGGTACCACCGTGGGGAGGAGGGGTGAGGTTGGGGTGGGTAGTGAGTTTCTCTGGGGGTTGAGGGGGTTTGGGCTGAGTAGGGGCTGTGGAGGGTGCCCAAGCCCTGGGTGGATGTGGGGACCCCTTACACGTGTGCCCACCCTGCCCAGGGGTATGCCGGGATTGCTCCTGTTCCAGCATTGTTGAAGTGAGGGTGGGATGTGATGGGCTTGGCTTGCCTGCCGCTTCTGCCCAGGAATGGTTTGTTTTGGAATTATAGTATCTTGGAGGGGTGTTGAGGGCAAGGAAACATCCCTGGGTTAGAGTGTAGGAAGCTGTGAGGGAAAAGTAGGGAATGAAGGGCTTGTCCAAACTATTTCAGAGGGGAGAGGTCTGTATGTCCTTATGAGGTTGTGAGCTGTGCTAGCGGTGGTATATGCCTCCGGTAGGGTCTCCCATGCCAGACAGGTCAAAACTGAAGGGTCAGATAAAATGCGTCCATGGGCAGGATGGGCTCACTAGCCTTACAGCAGTCATCCCAGGAGAAGGACAACTCTGATTTGAAACCCGGGTAGATGGAGCTCACTTAGCCCTGTAAGGTCATCCATCCAAGAGAAGGATATCTAATTAAACCTACATCCTGAGGACCTCATTGTCACCATCCAAGCTTGCTAGGCCCTGGCAGATGAACCTTGAGAGTAAAGGGTGGGACCAGTTCTGCACAAGCTGAGCCTCACCTAAAAAATCCACTGCGCAGGCTTGAAAGTTATACTCACACTTGTAAAGCCGTGCAGCAACAGGCGAGGGATGAAACGGCAGGTGATAAGGTGCACTGGAAGCCGCAGTCCTAACCCTGCATGCAGGCAGTTCAGGACTTTGGTTACCTGAGTCGGACCCCGGAGACGACAGCCTCATTCAACAGCATCCTGAATGATCAAGCAGCCTTTTTCAAGGAGAGCACTGCTTGCTCCACATGGAGAGGGGCCTAGAAAAGGTGACCTAACCAAAGCTCATCTCCACCCTTCACCTGGTTGTTTAACCGTGGCCAACGGGCATCTTCTGATGCGGTCAAATAAAGATTAAGAGTCAAAGGCATACACCTGCCTTCAAAGGTGTGTCCAAATTGACACTTGCATGCTGGAACATCAGAATCATGCTTGATACTGTGGATAGTGGACGTCCTAAGCGTTGCTCCGCTCTAATTGCCCATGAACTGTCACGACTCAGCATCGACATTGCTACTCTCAGTGAAGTTTGTCTCCATGAGGAAGGCAGCCTTAGAGAACATGGTGCCAGTTATACACTCTACTGGTCAGGTAAACCCAGAACTGAAAGTCATCTTTCTGGAGTTGGTTTCATGATCAAGACCTCTATTGTCTCTAAACTTGAAAATTTGACTACTGGTCATTCTGATCTCATTATCTCCCTGCGTCTCCCACTACACAACAAGCAACATGCTGTTCTCTTTAGTATATATGCCCCAACTCTCCAAGCTGACCCTGCTGAAAAAGATAAATTTTACACCGACCTACACCGCCTTATCCAAAAGGTTCCTGCAGATGATAAGATCATTATCCTTGGTGATTTTAACACCAGAGTAGGAAAGAACTCCGAGACCTGGAAAGGAGTACTAGGTGTTGGGAACTGCAATGATAATGGTCGCCTTCTGCTAGAGTTTTGTGCAGAGCAGCAGCTCACCATCACCAACACTATCTTTCAGGAGAAAGATAGTTTGAAGACAACCTGGATGCATCCTAGATTCAAGCACTGGCACCTCATTGATTATATCTTGGTCCGACAGAGAGATATTCGCGATGTTCGTCATACCCGAGTGATGTCTATTGCAGAATGCCAAACAGATCATCACCTTGTGTGCTGTGAACTTAACTTCCACCTAAGTTTAAACCTAAAAGGGGTGGCATTCCAAGAAGGAGATTTCAAGTTAATAATCTTCAAACAGCTACAGGAAGAGACAGTTTTCCAGGCAAATCTTCAATCCAGGCTCAAAGTTCATTCCACAGATCCCTCTCCAGAAGTGCTTTGGCAACTTATTAAAAATAGCATCCTGCAGTCCTCTGAAGAATCCTTAGGGTTCTTCTTCAAGGAAAACAAGGACTGGTTTGATGAAAACAATCAAGAGATCCAGGAATTGTTGATAAAGAAGAGAACTGCTCACCAAGCACACCTTGCTCAGCCATCTTGTCATGTAAGAAAGGCAGCTTTTCAACTTGCCTTTAGCAAGCTCCAACAGAAACTTCGTGACATCCAGAACAAGTGGTGGATCAATCTAGCAGAGAAAATTCAATTATGCGCAGATATGAGTGCCTAAAGGGGATTCTATGAGGCTCTGAAAACAGCTTACGGCCCTACACACCAGGTTCAAAGCCCTTTACTCAGTGCAGATGGTCAAATGCTTCTCACAGATAAAGTTTCCATTTTGAATCTATGGTCTGAACATTTTCAGTCTCTCTTCAGTACCAGCCATGTAGTTCAAGGCTCAGCAATGCAGTACATTTCACAACAACCAGTGAAAAATGAACTGGATATTGCCCCCACTATGGGAGAAACTCTTAAAGCCATACAGCAGGTGAAAATTGGCAAGGCAGTTGGGGTGGACGGAATCCCCCCTGAAGTCTGGAAGTTTCACGAATTTGTGGTGCGCTGTTGGGAACGAGGCGAACTACCCTCAGACCTTCGTGACGCAGTCATCGTCACCTTGTACAAGAAGAAAGGAGATAAATCAGATTGTTCAAATTACCGAGGTATTACTCTGCTCTCCATTGCTGGTAAAATCCTTGCAAGAATTCTTTTGAACAGATTAATGCCCACTATAGCAGAAGAACTTCTACCTGAAAGCCAGTGTAGTTTCAGAACCAATAGGGGTACCACAGACATGGTATTTGTTCTCAGACAATTGGAAGAAAAGTGTCGGGAACAGAACAAAGGACTCTATGTAACCTTTGTTGATCTCACCAAGGCTTTTCATACTGTGAGCAGGAAAGGTCTGTGGCAGATTTTGGAACATTTAGGATGTCCCCCCAAGTTCCTTAAAATGATCATCTCGCTTCATGAGGACCAGTGTGCCCAAGTCATATATGAAGATGCACTTTCTGAGCCCTTTCCAATAACCAATGGTGTCAAGCAAGGCTGTGTTCTTGCACCAACTTTATTCACAGTCTTTTTCAGCATGATGATCGAAAGGGCCACAGCAGACATCGATGAAGAAAATGGTATCTACATCCAATATCATAGCCATGGAAGCCTTTTCAACCTAAGGCGACTGAAGGTCCACACTAAGACCTTAAATCATCTTGTCCGTGAGCTGCTTTACGCTGATGATGCCGCCCTCATCGCCCACACAGAAGTAGTTCTGCAGTGTTTAACATCCTGCTTTGCAGAGGCTGCTGAGCTTTTTGGGTTGGAAGTCAGCATGAAGAAGACAAAAGTTTTCTATCAGCCTGCACCTCAGGAAGTCTCCCATCATCCCCATATCACCATTGGTGAAACAGAGCTCAAATCAGTCCAGCAGTTTAATTACCTGGGAAGCATCATCTCCTTGGACAGTAAGATTGACAAAGATGTAGACAACAGGTTAGCAAAGGCATACAGAGCTTTCGGTAAACTCCATAAAAGAGTTTGGCAAAACAAACACCTGAAGAAAAGTACAAAGATCAGTGTTTACAGAGCAATAGTACTGTCTACTCTTTTATATGGGTATGAATCATGGGTCATTTACCGCCACTCCTTGCATCTCTTAGAACGTTTCCATCAGCGCTGCCTCCATACAATCCTAAACATCCACTGGACGAATTATGTGACCAACATGTCTGTCCTTGAACAGGCAGCAGTCACAAGCATTGAGGCCATGCTGCTGAGAACACAGTTGCGTTGGGCAGGGCACGTCTCCAGGACGCAGGACTACTGCCTCCCTAAGATTGTGCTCTATGGGGAACTTGTCACTGGCTGCCACAAGAGAGGAGGTCCGGAGAGGGGATACAAGGTCTGCCTGAAACAATCTCTTAGCCTTGGCCATATTGATCATCACCCTTGGTCTACCCTGGCCTCCAGTCGTGAGACCTGGAGACACACTATCTGTAACACTGCTGCTTCTTTTTTGAGAACACATGCAGGATCACTCTTGGGGAGATAAGGCAACGCAGAAAAAATTGTGTCTTGTCGATACAACCAAAGGAGTCTTTCTGCTGTGCCTTTTGCAACTGAACTTGTCTATCTAGCATTGGCCTTTTTAGCCATCAATGCACTTGTAGTAAGCGTGAGTAGAGCCCTTCTCAAATCTTCATTTGCGTAGCCTAGCCACGATGATGATGACACTCACCCACCACATGATGTGTTTATCCAGCTGTATGCTGGACATTTTGTCCAGAAGGAGACTGTGTGACGCAGTATCAAAAGCTTTACTGAAATCCAAAAAGATTACATCAACTGGCTTTCCTTGATCAACTAGGTAGGTTACCTTGTCATAAAAGGAAATGAGGTTTGACAAGCAGGACTTTCCTCTCATGAAGCCGTGCTGGCTGTGACCAATGACTGTGTTGTCTTTCAGATGTTTTTCAATAACTCCCAGAATAATCTTCTACATAACTTTACCAGGCACTAAAGCGAGACTGACAGTTTCCGGCATCCTCCTTCTTGCCCTTCTTGAAAACTGGAACAACGTTTGCCAGCTTCCATTCATCTGGGACCTTTACAAATTCCCAAGACCACTAAAAATCATCAAGAGAGGTTTTCTGATTACATCAGCTAGTTCTTTGAGGATTCTGGGATGAATCCCATCAGGTCCCATAGATTTCACAGAATCACCTAGGTTGGAAAATACCTCTGAGATCATCGAGTCCAACCTATGATTTACCACTACCTTGTCAACTAGACCATGGCACTAAGTGCCATTCCAGTCTTTTCTTAAACACCTCCAAGGATGGTGACTCCACCACCTCCCTGGGCAGCCCATTCCAATGCCAAATCACTCTTTCTGTAAAGAACTTCTTCCAAATGTCTAAGCTAAGCCTCTCCTGGCGCAGCTTAAGACTGTGCCCTCTTGTACTACTGGTTACCTGGGAGAAGAGACTGATGCCCACCTGGCTAAAACCTCCTTTCAGGTAGTTGTAGAGAGTGATGAGGTCTCCACTGAGCCTCCCTTTCTCCAGGTTAAACAACCCCAGCTCCCTTAGCCAATCCTCATAGGACTTGTGCTCCAGACCCTTGACCAGCCTTGTTGCCCTTTTCAAACATGCTCTAGCACCTCAACATCCTTTCTTAATTGAGACCCCCAGAACTGGACACAGTACTTGAGATGCCGCCTCAACAGTGCTGAGTAAAGGGGGAAGAATCACTTCCCTGATCCTGTTGGCCACACTATTCCTGATACAGACCAGGATGCCATTGGCCTTCTTGGTCACCTGGGCTCATTGCTGCCTCATGTTCAGCCTCCTGTCAATCAGCATCCCCATGTCCCTTTCTGCCTGGCTACTCTCCAGTCACTCTGTCCCCAACCTGTAGTGCTCCATGGGGTTGTTGTGGCCAAAGTGCAGGACCCAGAACTTGGTATTCTTGAACCTCATGCTGTTGGATTCAGCCTATCTATCCAGCCTGTCCAGGTCCCTCTGCAGAGCCTTCCTACCCTCCAGTAGATTGACACTCCCCCCCCAACGTAGTGTCATCTGAAAATTTGCTAATGGTAGACTTCTCATCCAGATCATCAATAAAGATATTAAACAGGACCTAGCCCAACACTGATTCCTGGGGAACACTACTAGTGACTGGACAACAACTGGATGCAACACCATTCCCCACCACTTTCTGGGCCAGGCCAGTCAGTCAACTCTCAACCCAGTGAAGAGTGCCTCTGTCTAAGCCATGGGCTGCCAGTTTTTCCAGAAGTATGATATGGGAGACAGTGTCAAAGGCCTTGCTGAAGTCCAGGTAGACAACATCCACAGCCTTTCCTTCATCCACCAGGAGGGGCACCTGGTCATAAAAGATTAAGTTGGTCAGGCAGGACCTGCCCCTCCAAAGTCCATGCTGGCTGGGTCTGATCCTCTGGCAATCCTGTAGATGCCACCTGATTGCACTCAAGATGATCCATTCCATAACCTGTCCGGGCACCGAGGTCAGGCCTTCAAGGCCTGTAGTTCCCTGGATCCTCCTTCTAACCATTCTTGTAGATGGGCATCACATTTGCCAACTGCCAGTCCTCTGGGACCTCCTCAGTTAACCAAGATTGATGGCAAATGATGGAGGGCAGCTTGGTAAGCTCTTCTGTCAACTCCTTCAGTACCCTTGGGTGAATTCTATCTGGACCCATAGACTTGTGAGTGTCTAAATGGCTTGGCAGGTCACTAACTACCTTCTCCTTGATTATAGGGGGCTTATTCAGCTCCCTGCCCCTGTATACCAGCTCAGGGATCCAGTTGCCCTGAAGATAACTGAGGCAAAGAAGGCATTAAGTCCCTCAGCCTTTTCCTCTTCCTTGGTGACAGTGTTCCCCCCGCATTCAATAAAGTATGAAGATTTTCCTTGGCCCTCCTGTTGTTGTTGATGTATTTATAAAAACACTTTTTATTATCTCTCACAGCAGTGTCCAGATTAAGTTCTAGCTGAAGTTTAGCCTTTCTCATTTTGTCTCTACATGACCTAAGGACATCCTTGTACTCTTCCTGAGTTGCCTGCCCCTTCTTGCAAAAGTCATAAACCCTCATTTTCCCCTGAGTTCCAGTAAAAGCTTCCTAGTCAGCCAGGCCATTCTTCTTCCCCACTGGTTCATCTTTTGGCACATAGGGTTGGTCTGCTTCTGTGCCTTTAGGATTTCCTTCCTAAAGTATGTCCAGCCTTCTTGGACACCTTTGTTATTAAGGACTGTTTCCCAAGGGACTCTCTGAAACAGTGTCTTGAAAAGGCCAAACTCCACCTTCCGGAAGTCTAGGCAGAGAGGCCCTGTAGAGAGACCCCAACAAACTAGAGGACTGGGCAATCACCAACTATATGAAGTTAAACAAGATAAAGTGCCAGATTCTGCACCTGGGATGGTGCCCCAGATGTACATACAGAATGCAGAATGAGATGCTGGAAAGCAGTGCCATGGAAAGGGACCTGGGAGTCCTGGTCGATGGCAAGTTGAATATGAGTCATCAGTGTGCCCTGACAGTCAGGAGGGACAACTGTGTCCTGGGGTGCATCAGGAAAAACATCACCAGTCGGTTGAGGGAGGTGATTGTCCTGCTCTACTCTGCACTGGTGTGGCCTCACCTTGAATATTGTGTGCAGTTTTGGTCACCACAATATAAGAAAGATATTAAGCTATTAGAGAGTGTCCAAAGGAGGGCAACAAAGATGTTGAAGGGCCTTGAGGGGAAGCTGTATGTGGAGCAGCTGAGATCACTTGGTCTTTTCAGCCTAGAGGAGACTGAGGAGAGACGTCATCACAGTCTACAACTTCCTCATGAGGGGGAGAGGAGGGGCAGACACTGATCTCTTCTCTGTGGTGAAGAGTGATAGGACCCAAGGGAATGTCCTGAAGTTGTGTCAGGGGAGGTTTAGGTTAGATATTAGGAAAAGGTTCTTCACCTAGAGGGTGATTGGGCACTGGAACAGGCTCCCCAGGGCAGTGATTACAGTGCCAAGCCTGACAGAGTTCAAGAAGCATTTGGATGATACTCTCAGGCACATGGTGTGACTCTTGGGGATGGTCCTATGCAAGGCTAAGTGGTGGACTCAATGATCCTTGTGGGTCCCTTCCAACTCAGAATATTCTATGATTCTGTGTTGAATCCTTACTTCACTGAGAAATGAAAACTTTATCATTTTGTGGTCTTTGTGCCCAAGATGGTCTCCAACCACCACATCTCCCACCAGCCCTTC